GATGGTGGTTTAAAGTGAGTTTTGAGTAAAAGCGGAATATAAATCTTATTCATTGTTTTATGTAGCATGATGCTACAGTTTGCATGAATGGTCACATAACACGCGCGTTCGGTCGTGTAACATTAGTATGAACGGACATCTGCATATGATCGGAACTCCACGCAGCTCTCGCGCTACTCTCCATTGGAAATTAATGACCGGTCTGTGACCGACTTGAAACGCAGTGGAAACGCCAATACGATGAGGATAGTTTTCATTTTAGAACATAAACGCACCAGTGTGAGGGCTGGGACGCATTCACACTACAGCCTCATGTGTGCGCCACTCTCTGGGTGTGTTCGACTTGATGCGGACCGACTGTGCAGGCCGATCGGTGTATTACAGTACCACGAGAGCTAAAGAGAGCAGACTGCTCCGTGCGCTTTCGAATCGCTCTCGCGGATGATCGATCTGCGCCGCGCCTCTAGTCGAACACACCGGCTAGTGCTGCAGGCTTATTGGCTCACTGATGCTGATGAGATTAACCCCTTAGGTATCGAAATTTGGTACCGAACGACGAGACATTTTTCGATACTCGATGGTATCGAGGCAATTCGGTTGGTGCCTAAAAAGTATCGAACTCGATACCCAACCCTATTGGTTAGTGTGATCATCAGATTGTGAAGGTTATTATGTATATTGTATATGATCATACATTTCTATGATTCATATAATGCTTATTTTAGGTTTCAGACATTTAAATACACATAAGTACTAGCAAAACCATACATTTACAGTTTGTAAAATACACGCTGATGTCTAAGAAAACAGCAATAATGATCCTTACAAATATAATCTGACGACATGTTTTTATTTATATCATATACAGATAACTATAAACTATAACTATAACTATAAAGTTAATGATTTAAGTTAATGATTACTATACTCTGCTCTTCTCCCAGTTTACCGGAGACCTACTTTAACGTGTTTCGGGAGGAGAGGATGAATTAGCATGTTGTAAATCCCACAGCTCTGACTCAGCGCAAACGTACATGGCGGCACCCATCACCCGGTATAGATCAAATAACACGGTCGACATAAAAGTGTTTAAACTACCAAATAGATTTACTTGCACATATTTCAGAATCGGAATATCAGATATTTCATAATATAGTGAGCATGTTTGTGAAAATTTTGAATAAAACAGGAAAAACGAAATAAAAGCAATCCATGTGTCGTACAGATCTATTGTGGCTGGTTGTGTCACATAACAAGCATGACGCGTCGCCATGCAATCAATAAGGCAATACATTCTAAAATAACGGTCGCCTTAAAAAAACTCACGCTGGGGGCTCAGCTAGAATATTTTAAACTCACGTGCGAAAGGGTTAAGAAATCCATAAATAATAGCATTGTAATTTTACTGTAAATATATTTGAACTATTTGCAATTAATATTTTTATTTGACAAAAATGTACAGATTCACTCTTGTTTGCCTAAAGTGCTGAAAATGATTATATGGGTGTTTTCACATATATTCAAACCCAGTTCACTTAAAGTGAACCAGAATGGGAACCAGCCAAAAGTGACCTGAGTCTGTCACGGTATGCCTACTATGTCGAAGTGAGGAGACGAAGGAGCGCAGAGACGGAGGGAATCCAGAAACATAATACACTTTATTTCTCAAGGAACACACACATAGCACACGAGGTAGACATTTAAGACTGAACGCAGGACTCAGGAAACACAGGGCTTAAGTACAGGAACTAAACGAGACACACCTGGAATCAATAAACATAATTAACATGGGAGAAACTGGGTAATGGAAGGCACATGGGGAGAGAAACACAAGAAACCGGAACACAGGACTGACATTACTCTCCCCTCCCGGAAGGCGCGTCTACGCATCACACAACATCCAACAGGAAGGAAGGAAGGAAGGAAGGAAGGAAGGAAGGAAGGGAGGGAGGGAAGGAAGGAAGGAAGGAATGAAAGAAAGAAAGAAAGAAAGAAAGAAAGAGGGAGGGAGGAAAGGGAAGGGAAGAAAGAAAGAAAGAAAGAAAATAGGAAGTAATAAAGAAAGAAAGAAAGAAAGGAGGAAAGAAGAAAGAAAGAAAGAAAGAAAGAAAGAAGAAAGAAAGTAAGAAGGAAGGAAGGAATGAAGGAAAGAAAGAAAGAAAGAAAGAAAGAAGAAAGAAATAAAGTAAGAAGGAAGGAAGGAATGAAGGAAAGAAAGAAAGAAAGAAAGAAGGAAGGAAGGAATGAAGGAAAGAAAGAAAGAAAGAAGGAAGGAAG